TCAATTTTGAAAATGGAGTCTATATCAATGGGAAGCAAACTGGCTTTTTTGAAAATTTAAAACAGACAACAGCTAAATCATTTCCAAAAATATGGGCGATAACTTCAATTATACAAATATAATCAGACCACGGTAATTAAAGGGAGAGTATGCATATGTAAATTATACATAAAAATATTATATTTCTTTATATACACTTTGATCAACCTGAATTTGTATTAAAGGGGTGTAGGTCTAAGCTACTAATGAATTTGCAGTTTGATCAAATTTTGGTTTGTGGCTTTATAATATGGCTCGATGTTAAGTTGAAACCTTATGAATAAGAAGGAGACGCATTCCTCGTCAATCAAAAGCGATTGTAAAAAGGTTTCTAAATTGTTCATGTGTATCGGGAACACTGATAGCACCATTCCAATGTACAATCAGACGTCTGTGGTTCCTGCAACTCAACTAAAACTAAACGTTTGTTTTTCACTAATCAATCAAATAGGTTTGTATCATAAGAAATAAGGCCCTTTGCGATTAGTAACGTCATCAAATACCATAATGAAATTTGCAGAAACTACAGATGTCTGATTGAAAATTGGAATGGCGCAAATTGATGCTATTAGTGTCCCCGATACACATAAAAGATGTAGAAAACCACCTTTCCTAGATTTTGGTGTATAAATGTAAGCAAAACACAGTTCCGACCTACGAAAAACCAGAGAGCGAGCCTGTAATCTTGACTCTTAGATGCGGCATTTTGGGGCTGATTTTAGTTCTAGAAGTACTAGAAAATGTACTGTGTTAAATAAGGCCTACAATATATGGTGATCTGACATATAAATACCAGTGTATTGAGGCCGAGTTCATTATATTGTTGTTAAGTCGCACGATGGGCTTCGCTTCTCGAGTGAATGTTTTTTAGGTTGGCTATTGCTGTGTGCGAGAGCCGATTGTGCATGGGTATTGATATAACTTTGGTAGGCCTTCCCTCGACTAAACATTGGTAGGTTCCCAGGACTGTTGTGGATAACTTGNGAAACTTACAGTATTTCAGCTTCTGAATGTAAACTAATTGAAAACGAACGTGGCGTGAGATATTGATTCTAAAAAGGGATACAGAAATGAGATCTTGATTTACTTTAGATAATTAAACCAATCTGCAATCCAATTTCCAATACAATGCTGTATATTTACGTGGTAATTTATTTTTAACAAGGTTATGAGACGTGTAACTTTTTAAACTACAGACACCAGGTGAAAGCATAGAAATGTAACATGGAAATAACGACGTCACACAACCATTATTGACATTTCAATGACCTTCCCCCATTTTTACCTACAAGAATGCGGTCACAGTTATACAAAGGTTTTTTCCACCTCGATAATTATTGGCAAGAGAACTTTCTCGTACAACCATTTACACAATTTTACAAGACACCAACTCTAGGAAAACAAATTCAGTTTGAGCAAGTAGATACATAAATGTTAAAAGCGTATTTCAAAATTATTTTTAGGTATAACCAGTGGTTATTTAGGGAGGGGGTGGGGGATGGGCACGGTGCCTTAGGGCCAGAAAAAATGAAAGATTTATTCTACTTTCATCGCCAAACTCGCGTTAAATATATTACCCGCCTTCCTACATTAGAAAAGTTTCCATTGCCATTGAAACTTTCAAATGGGGCTTTCGTTTAGCGATTCTGACCCACGAAACTGCGTCAGGCGAGTTTTGACCAACAGCTCTTACCCCACTTTCACCGACAACTTTCATAAGATTTATCAGAGTCTTGAAAAGGGGCAGATATTTCGGACTAATCTGAAATGTTAGGCCTACCTTCCTTGGGAATAGATCTATATAAAATATCTAGAAAAGTGACCGCAATACAATATAATAATATAAACACGGACATGGCCACGATTTAATCAATGACGTTATGACCTGAACAATATTCTCCAGAATGTCATTATTACATGGCAATAACTGATGACACGCATGATGTCACAATCATATTTACAGTGGAAAGTTACCAGTACAATCTGCATTGATTATTTTAATTTGCTTATCCACAGTAACATATCCTGACGTTTATCTGTAGATAAGGACACTCTAAACGCATGAGTTCAGTCAACAGAAACCAGAAACAGACTATATACAGTCTGTTTATCGAAAAAATTCAGTTAATAGTTTTACGATTCGAACGAGACACACGTGGAAATTTTCATACTACATAGTAACGTTTATTAACATTTTTCATAACTGGGAATTTTAAACTTTTAATATGGAAATTGAAAACTACGATACACCACTGGAGAATGAAAACAACGAACCCTATTCAGATCCTTCAAAAGTTGTGCGACCGAAATCTCTAGAGGAATTAATTCAAGAACTGCATAAAATATTTGCTCATGAAAAAGTAAATGTAGATTATGTTCAACGTTTGATGACATTATACATTAGTAACAAAAGGGAATGGAAAAAATATGCCAAGTCCGACCCTCACAGGTAAAGTAATAATACTTTTATTCATTGTTTTTCATCTCTTGTCTTTGTCTTGGGCGAATATCATTTTTTTTACTTTACAATTTACTTCTGCAAATTTTATTTTAAAATGTATGCCGATATCCATATTTTACATAATATTATATAGGTTACACAATCAGTCACAAGACTTCTTATTCCTTACAATTAGTAACATGGTTTACAATATACAATACAATAAATATACATCACTGCAATTTGAAAAGGAAAAGTGAGTTAACTTAATAATAGGGCCCGTGGAATGACTATTTTTTTGGTAAACAATGTATTGCCCTGCCAAAATGTAATACGTCAATGAAAGCATTTGATAGCTCTTTTATGCACTACACAAATACAGCTGAACGATATTTTTTTCTATCCTATACTGTATGCTGTATTAGTACAATGCACATTATAGCACAATCTGCCAATTTATCTTTCACCTAATAATTCCTACATTGAAATAATCTTTCTACAATATATTTTATTATATTATATTTAATTATATCTTTTATCAAATCTTTCGATCAAACTACTGTGATTCCTGCCATTTCACTAATGACATTATTAGAATGGGGCACAGGCCTATCAGTATCAGTGTCACCAATACACATGAAACGTTCAGAAAATCCCTTTAGATAGTTATGTAACAGCTATGTGGACAGTGAGGTTCTTTGCCCTGGAGCAATTAATTTAAATGTACTGAGAAGCCTTTTCTTTCATACAGTTGTTTCTGCTGTCATGGACGATGTACAGTTATCTGCATGACTACCCTTCTGGAATAAAACTATTGTATCATATTGAATGGTCTTCACGTTATATTAAATAGTTATATCTAATTTTGTTTTGTTAAGGCAGTGGCTTTTTTTTCTTAAACTTAACCTAAATTCTCGACAAAATATTATAGTATATATACTTATACTGTAGGCCTATCTTGATTTAGAAGAGCAAGATATATTTTTAAGTAGAAAATTAGATTAGTTGCTCTCAGGACAGGTGGTCTGTGGTCACAATATTATGGTCACATTTGAGAGTAACTGTGCCCATTTTACTGTATTTACCTTGCGACCAAATTACTGTACACGTGTATTTGACTGTGACCATATTGTATTTGACTTGTGACCAAGTTACTGTATTTAACTTGTGACCAAATAACTGTACTTATCTTGTGACCAAATTAATGCAGGCCTACTTATCTTGTGACCGAATTACTCTATTTAACTTGTGACCTAATTCATGTATTTAACTTGTGACCGAATTACTGTATTGAACTTGTGACCGAATTACTGTGTTTAAATTGTGACCAAATAATTATAATCAACTTGTGACACATTAATAACTGTTTTTAACTTGACGTGACCAATTTTACGTACCAATCTAATTACTGGTAACCAAATGATTTATATATCACAGAGTATCTCATATTGAAGAGTCGCCATTTTAATATTTAAACTCAGATAATTCTGGACACATGGATTTGAAGGCTCAAATTCCGATGGTGGGATGTTAACACTATATAATTACTGATTGGTGAAGCTAAAAAATTCCCGTTTCTGGGACTAAAGTATGATTGGTTCAAAAATTGGCGCATCTGTCCCTTTTAGGGGAGAACACCCGGTTCCAAACTAGGTCAAGCCAAAAACAAAGGGGTAGAATGTGGTAAACAGGTTTTGGTTTCCCTAAAGAAAGCGTTCTTTGAAAGATGGAGTATTGTATATGATTAACCTAGTGTGACGGACGTTCACAATCATATCAAACAGAATCTATGTATACCTTGATCGTCAAACCAATTCTGGCTGCACAGAGGTTAAGACACATATAAAAATTGTAACTGCTCAGTAACTTTCAAATAAACTGTATTATTTAAAATAATGACTTTATACTATTAAAACCGATCCTGTAAGCATTCTCACAATACTTATGTATACAATATGTATGTTTCTGCACCCGATCCTGTAAAATTAGCTCTCTCAAAGAGAAAATTATTTGTCTTATTATGGTTTCTGCATGACTTCCAGCTCAAATATAGCATATAACTTCGTCGTTTCGTTAAAGTTTGGATTATTGTTCCCTCTCACCTGTACTATGTCAAGCTATTACGAAATTCATTACGTTTTATACCCTGACTACAATAGCCACCTTTCTTGTGTCACAGACGTTAGGTTATACAGAGATTTGATTGGATTGTAAGTTAGCAACCAGAGGTCTCAACAGAAAGTCTGTAAAAACTTAACAATAACCATAAAGTTTATAGTCTTTCTATCAATGGCTCTGATTGGCTGCATTCGCTCCCGTACAATCCAATCAAATCGTTACACAGTAAAGGTAGCTATTGCAGTCAAGTTAAAAGACGGAGTACGTTATATAATAACTTGAAGATTATTCCTTCCTGTCCGTGAATCAACATTCACACGACGTGATATGGAGTCATACTCATAGGTTATCTCTGGTACTTTTTTTGCAAATGGTTTGTAGTATATTTGAGCTCCATTAACTGACGAAGCAAATATTACGGCGACAATATACCTTTGAAAGCTTGAAAAATAATTGTTGCTGCTCAAATTAACTAAAGGCCGTATGCAGGACTCTTTCCTTGACTAAAGTTGAACTTTGGCTAAAGTCGAACTTTACAAAGTTAGGATTAAGGCTTTCATTTTCTACATTTGATAGTCAAATTTAAGCACGACTTTCGTAAAGATTGACCGGTGCATACCTAAAGTTTAGGTAAAGTACGAGCGCTGCGTATGGCCCTTAGTGTTATAATGACGAGATTTTACAACATATCAAACATTGGGTATTGGCAATACAGACGCACACCGAAAGACAAAAAAATACTTCCGTGGCATGTAAATGCGGCCGCTCCATTGACACATTGGGCTGGTTATGGGCCTGGTGCGTTGCCTCCCCAACAAATGGAATAACAATACCGGTAGATGACCTGTTGTGGTCAGGTCGTTGGTGTTTATATCATTGATGTTTATCGAATACCATCCTATATAAAGGTTGACTTGTAGGTTTTGTGCCAGCAAATACGTAGTATTAAATGTTCTTTGAAAGAATCCTTTCGCTATTCATAACAGTAAATATGTTTGATGTACAGATGTTTTAAGTATCATTAGAGATAAAATCTATTAATAATTAGAATCCGCACTTAATACCACACTCACTACAGCTTCATCGACATCATTCAGATATGTTGTATACCTTCAACATGACACCCCGGAAGCTTTTCCAATCTCCTCCATCGGATGGTTCCATCAACTCAACTAAAACATCTCGATGATTTGGGTCTAGATTTAAACAGAGATTGATTGGACTGGCATATCCTATTAGAAAAACGCATATTTATTGCACGATAAAATCAAATCTTTTTAATATTGTACAATCGAACCCCAGTAAAGTTTGAAGAGAACACCCGGTTTCAAACTAAGTCAAGCCCCATACCAATGGGTAGAATGTGGTAAACAGGTTTTGGTTTCCCTAAAGAAAGCGTTCTTTGAAAGATGCAGTATTGTATATGATTAACCTAGTGTGACGGACGTTCACAATCATATCAAACAGAATCTATGTATACCTTGATCGTCAAACCAATTCTAACAATACTTATGTATACAATATGTATGTTTCTGCATGACTTCCAGCTCAAATATAGCATATAACTTCGTCGTTTCGTTTAAAGTTTGGATTATTGTTCCTTCTCAACTGGACCATGTCAAACTATTACGAACTTAATTATGTTTATAGCCACCTTTCTTGTGTCACAGACGTTTGTTAATGCAGAAATTTGATTGGATTATACGTACGTGAATACAGCCAACAGATGACTCTGATTGGCTGCATTCGCT